ACAGACTCTGAATCCTGGGCTTCTCCTAAGGAGAGGTGCTGAACACAAGTGCTAGGTTTGCTGCTGAAGTCACAAGAAACGTCCTCAGGGAAATTTGCCACTGGCAATGCTAACGGTGCTGTCTTCTCCTAATCAGGAAGAGCAATAATGAATCTCCTGAAATGCCTTACTTCATTTCATCATTTCTCCTGTGTGGAAGTCTATAGATAGTTAGCAAATGTTCAAGACGAGTGTTTGTGGTCTTTTGGAAAATACAAAAAGCAGGGAAACTCCCTCACACTCCCACCAGCCTGCTTTTGCTTTTCTGCATGTTTATTTTGGTTGGAGTTCCTAGTTGCAAACACGCCATGAGAGATTTTTGGATTCTGCATCTTTCAATTAACATAATGCCTTAAGTTAGTCTTCTACACTGGGGATTGAACCCAAGGAGGGGCCTGGTGCACACAAAACAAGGGCTCTTTCCACTGAGCCAAGCTGCCAGTCCTTTGGCTTCTTTAAAATTTTGTTTTCCCAAAATCTGATCTTGCTTTCACCCAGGCTTGCTTGCTATGGACTCCCAGTCCTCCTGCCTCTGCCTTCAGAGTCGTTGGGATTAGGTGTGCACTACCATCATGCCCAGACCTCCATAGGATCATTTTTATGTGTGCCTATGCCAGTTCTGGAGCTTGAACACAGGGCCTGGGTGCCATCCCTGAGTTCGTTTCTTTTGTTGTTGTTGTTTTTGCTGTGGGGCCTGAACTCTGGGCCTGGATGCTGTCCCTCAGCTCTTCAGCTTAAGGGAAGCATTCTACCACTTGAGCCACAGTGCCACTTTTTTTTTTCTGCTTATGTGGTGCTGAGGAATCGAACCCAGGGCCTCAGGTATGCAAGGCAAGCACTCTACCACTGAGCCACTTTCCCCATGAGCTTTTTTGCTCAATACTAGTGCTCTACCACTTGATCTACAGCTTCACTTCCATCTTGCTCTCCTGTTTGCTTGCTTTTTCTTTTCTTCTTCCCCCTTCTGTTTGCGTGCTCTTTCTCTTTTTCTCTCTCTCTCTCTCACTCTCTCTCTCTCTCAAATGGCTAACTGGAGATAAGAATGTCATGGACTTTACTTCTCTGGCTGGCTTTGAACCATGATCTTCAGATCTCAGCCCCCTGGGTGGCTAGGATTACAGGAATGAGCCACTAGCACCTGGCTAGGATCATTTTTAATGGTTGCAGAATATGCCATCTTCACAACTCTCTCCTCACTCTGCCTAGTTTGGAGCTTCTGTGGTTCCAATCTGTGATGCTATAGCAAATGTTCTTGATGTGACTTGGGAGACATAAATTCCTAACAGTGACTTTCTGAGCCAGTGTGAGGAGATGGCCAGGGGTCATGGGGCAAAAGGATCTTCTGGGTTCCAGCAATGAAACTGTCAGCCACTGTGCACCCATCCTCTTCCAATGGCTTCTCTGACCTCAGCTCCTAGGCTATAGGTTCCTTCCTATCCACTCAGATGTCCACACCTCCTTCCAAGCAAGGTCAGAAGATAATAACTCAACTTGCCCTAATGGGCTGCGGGACCTTAGCTACGTCTCTTCTGTGGGGACTTCAGTTCAGGGGTAGAACACCTCTGTGGCCTGCCCAGTGAGTATCCCTAAGTCACTGTGGACCCTCAGTGCCTTGTTAAGCTCTCTGGGCTCCACTCTGCTGCTCTTATGCAAGAAGCTAGAGTGATGGGAACATCTGGCAGGCAGCGGAGGACTCACTGGCAACCACTTGCTTATTTACTCCAGGGTAATAGACACTGCTAAGCGACAGAGATTCCCAGAACCCAGCACAGACCTAAAATATGGCTGTTCCATGAAAAATGCTCCATGACCCAGCAGATAGAGCACTCTATTCCAGCAACAAGAAGTTATCTCCAGCAAATAAGGCCACCTAGTTATAGCTGCAGTCTACAGTGATAGATGGACTGAAACTCATTCATTCACTCACTCATTCATCTATCCATCCAGGGTTTAGTGAGCACACTGAGCACCTCTGGGTTCCAGCACTGCCAACATCCTGTCCTCATCTCCTCTCCATGTTCAGCCCTGACTTGGGGCCTTTGAACATGTACAGGTTTTGTCCAGAATACTCTTTTCATTGCTCCTCCATGGCTGGCTCAAGTCTTGGTTCAAATATTCTTCTCCCAAGAGACTTTTTGCTAGTCACCCCATCTAAAGACCACATTTCCCTCATTGATCAGCATGTGCTGTTTCCCATCTAGCACCAAGCAATGAAACTGGCCTTAAAAGGCCAGTACTAACGTAAGCATTTCCTGTTGAGGGTGCATCCATTGTCCCTTGGATGTCATCTCCAGGACTGCAGGGACCAGCGGTACCAGTTCACTCCTTCCTCCACAGCTTCCCATAATCACAGGAAATAAATGCTGGATGCTACAGGCACCATTGTAGGGAGTGAACCCAGGTACCCTGAGCAACTACTCTATGTCAGCTACCATTCCAAAGCCTCTAATGGTAAGGAGCAACTCTGGTAATGCTCCCAATATGCATGAGGCAGCAACACATATTCCCATCCTACAAGCAGGGACCCTTTCCCCAGTTTCCACCATAGGAGGCGGAAAGGCTGGGAGATGCTCCTGCACACCAAGCCACATGTGGGACAGTCTGTGCGGGGACGGAAGGGGAAGCTGACTTGGTCTACAAAGAAGGAAGCTGGAGACAGCTTCTGGAGGGATAAAAGTCTCAGATGAGCCCTGAGATAAGCAGGGGTCTCTGGGGTGCAGAAGGGGTACAGTGGAAGGAGGAATGTTCTGCACAGAGGCCAACAGGACAGCAGGCCTAAAGATCTAGCCACAGGCTCATATGGCTGTCCTAGAGGATGCAGACATTCACTATGGCTCTGTGTACCCTAGCACCCTCTCAGCAACTGAAGTGAAAAAAAGTCCCAGGTCCTAGGAAGGTGGGCAGGGACTTCCAGGTCATACAGAGCCTTGGCAAGATCCTGGCACCAAATGGCTCTGTGTGTGTGTGTGTGTGTGTGTGTGTGTGTGTGTGTGTGTGTGTGTGTGTGTG